ACATGCGCATCAGGACTGCAGTGACCTTGGCAGAACTCCTGCAGATGAGGCAACACACACAGCCACGGAGAGCTCAGACCGTGTGTGCTGCTGGCTGCTTTACCTGAGCTGCTGCTAACTGCCCTGTGCCTTCAGAGCTCGGCTGCATTCGCCTCTGCCACTGGAACATGATCTGCTAATGTTAGTGAAAACAAGAACAAAAACGTAACACAGCCAGCCCTACGATTTGAATCCAGCAGGTAGTGTGAGTTGCATTCCAAGCTATAGCCCTGGAAATGCAGTATTTAGCATAGTCTGTGCTGCAAATTTCTGTCATGCTGCCTATTTTGGTGATATCCGGAAAATTCTATGGGACAGGAGGGGATCTCAGTAATTCCAAACATCAGTTAGAAGCTAGAGAAGCTTTCATCCCCAGGGTATAAACCTAGGTCAGACCTGGTTCCGTAATGTCAGTCGTTCCCTTCTGTGGCTGTTCAGTGGTTTATATGAAGTGATGTGATGGGCTCAGAGTGAAAGCTTCCTAATTGGCTTGTGTCCCTACTGCTGCTGTGCTGGTCCTGCTCTCTTGCTTGCACCCTCAGCAACTGCACTGCCCTTTCTGCTCCTACCGGACAGTCCTGGGAGAGAGGATTCAAAAGCTCACTGGCACCTTCCTTACACTGCTGCCATTGCTGTCCCAATTTTGTAAGGGGCTATGGTGTGCAAAAACATCAACATGAAGTGCTCCCCATTTATTCCAAAATGTTGGGCAGAAATGCACACTGAGCTTTTGTTGAGAATTCTTTTTGTTGATTACTTTGAATGCCATGATAGCCTGGGTCTGCAACCCTACCTGGCAGTCCTGCATTCTGTGACCTGGGTAGGGTACAAGGTGGCATCTGACTGCCTGAGAAACTCTGGAGGAGCAGGCAGACTCCTTCAACAGAGCCAGCTGGGATGAGACAAATCAGCAGTAAAAAGTTTTCTTTGGCAACACCACCTACCACACAGTTGAAGTTAACACTGATCAGGTAACTAAAAGCAAGACCTACTCTTCCTTCTTAGCATGGCATTGTGTTTGGAGGAACAGGAAAGCTGGAATGGAGTCTGCTGGGAAATTCCCACTCAGAGCATCACCCTCATTTACAGATGTGCAAGGTCAGCACAGTGTCTGATGGCACAGCCTAAAAGCCATCCTCTTCACCCTTGTACCAGGGGACTGCCTGACCAAAATGTTCACTGTCCTGGTTTAAGCCAGGATGAAGCCAATGTCAAACTGTGACACATTAATATTGCTGAGTGCATAAACCCTTAGAAATACCTTACACAGCCCCAGCCTTTGTCAAGGCTTTTCATAAGGTGTCCCTGGTGCCATGGCAGAAACATGTAGGATGGACAAGCATCTACTCCAGTTAAGGGGAGCAAGAGTTGCAGTCCTACATCTGCCCTCACTATACACAGCACTCACTTATCCTGATTTGGATCATGATGCATTGACAGGCACCATGAACAAACATTTCAGGTAGTGAAGAAGGTCTCAGTGTATCTGGAAATCAGAGGAAAAACATTTTGGAAGGGCAGATATATAACAAGAATGTACTATCTGGCCACTACTGCTGGAGTGCCTTAAAGTAATTTTTCTCCATTCAATTTAAAACTACACATACATTTTCCATGTTATCGTAGCATCAGTCCTAAATATAAAAGAAATTGTACCACTTCAAAATGTAGTACATAGAAATCACAAAAAACTACATTCATTTAATGTTAAAAATGTTCCCTTAAACCCACTAGAGGATAGTGCCAGGTATGTCCTGCAACCCATGCTCTGGCACACAGCCCTTTCAGTAAGTTAAAGCATGGCTTACAGCCACAAACAGACCAGCCTGGCAGCCAAGGTGAGCAATGACTTTTGGGTCATTCTCTTAATTTCCAGTACTTACAATCTGTTTCAAAGTGCTTTATACTTTACCTTGGAGTATCTCTACAGTGTGTAAATTTGTTATTCCAAATGAACTGGTGAAGAAACTGAGGCATTTGTTGGGTGCAGGATTTGAATCTAGAAATCTCTGCCTCAGTGATAAGGTGAGGTCAGCACTCCTTTTGTGGGTTGAAGTGAAGCTGTTAACAAGACAGTTTTCAAGATAAGTTTCATTTCCTCCTGCTTGTTACTGTAAGGTATTACAAAGAAAAAGTTAGAACAAGGTCTTCTACTGACATGCTTCTAAAGTCAGAGGCTGCCTCTGATTTAGAGAATCCTGCAGATAGAACCATTGAAAACCAGTTGATTACTCAGAGCCCAGAACACATGAACAACTCAGGCATGCCAGGGCAAATCATGTTATCAGTCCTAATCATACACAGTCCTGTTCACTGTCTCACTTTGGTAGATGAGAGCAGAATTTGGCTTTCAGTACAGAATGGCTCTCAGGAATCAGTGCATATGCAGCCCTGCCTGGGAATTCACCACATGGGCCTGCCAGAGCTGGACTGGTGGGCACCTTGACTGCAGATGAGCTGCAGTGACCATTTGTGCACTATGGATGCACAGGGAAAAAGCCTTTGGGTAAAGCTGGGAACTGTGTGTGTATAACCGTTGCTATTAATATCTTGTCTATTGGTTTTGTGGTTAAATAGCCTGCAAAATCGAATTTTAAAACCATAAATGTTTTCTTTAGTTACAGCACCACAAGTGCTAGGACCTAGCTCCTCCCAGTCTTGGTATTCAGAGGTGAGTAAATATATTTGTAATACGTACTGCCCCTAAGCCAACAACTGAAAAATGCTTCGTTTTGCTTCCTACTTTTCAGCTAGAAGGAAATGTTTACAGCCAGGCTACACATCTCTGGGAACAGGGGCCATTTTGTGGCAGAAGGACTGAGAGAACCTTAAAAGACAGCAACACCACTAGCAAATATTGGTACCAGCTGAATGAATAGGTAACAATGTCCCACTGTGCTTGTAGATGAACGAGCGTGTGCTTGTGTCCTCTGCAGCACCAGGATGCAGACCCAATCTGAAATCAATAGGACAGACTTTGACTTCAGTGGACTTTGGATCAGGGATGTAGCAGGGTTGTATTTAAGCCCAAAGTGCTGTTTCTATTTTCTGTTCTTAAGTTTTTAGTCATCTTTACTCTTCTGGAGTAGAACATCTCTGAAACCAAGGTGTATCAGCAGGGGTTTACATGGAAGAAACAAGGCAGCTCCTTTGCTCAAGGCAGCCCCTCCTTTGCAAACCTCAGGCTGAATCTGAAACTGTTGGAAACAGTGTTCAGAGGCAGAGAGAGAGAATTAGAAAATAAGCAAGCACTTCAGTGAATTTGTGTGATGGGAAAGGGACACTGTAAAAATGACATGTTAAAGTTGAATGCATCAGCGCTCTGCCTCTCCGCTGGCAATTTCAAGGCCATATTTGATCTGCAGTTAACATGGCCTTTGAAAATCAAATCATATTCTATTTGGTTCACAGTTTACTCTAAACAATAGCTGGTTCAGGTCTTACAGGCTGATTAATAACAGGGTGAGACATAAAACGGGCAAAAACTGCTTCATTTCCATGCTTCCAGACAAAGAAGTGCTTGCAGCAGCAATAAAATAAGCCATACTTTAATTTGGTGAGTGGGAAGCGGAATTAGAGAAGTCATTGTTCTATGACTCAAAAGTCAGTAAGCAAAACCTGGTTAGACTGTCACCACACTGGAGGATTAAACTTACATGAGTCCCTGAAAAACAGCATTGAAACAGAAAGGGCTCTGCTTTGAAAGTGGTCTGAGACTAAAAAAACCTTATTCATGATTCCCCTTTCCAGTTTTATGAACACAGCCCGTTCATTTAAAGTTAGAGCTCCAGAACAGGCACTCTGCCAAAAGACGATGTTCACTGTCTCACAATTAATTCAGACCTATAGTCAGAAATTTTCACAGCTCTGGAAGAGAGCCCCATCCTGTTCCCACTTAAATCAGGTCTAGTGACTTCACTGGAAGCAGGCTGGTGTCCATTATCTTTTGATAAAACAAGTAAAAATAACTGAAAAAAATACAGATACAGGTACATCAGTACGCTTGGTCTAGTTCAGCATTTCACACAGCAATAAACAAAACAAAATCACCTCCTTGTCATGTTGCCATTAAGGACTGATTATTTGCAGAGTTTTCCCTGGAACTTGTGCAGCCTTAGGAGAAAGAACTGCTATTTAAATTCTTCTTCCTGTTTTTTAACATGGAGGATTGGGGTCTCATGTGCTGTTAACACATAATCCTGATGATGGCATGAGCAGCAGATGTGGAGGGTAACAGGACAGCATGTGAGTGCACGTTTGAGCCCACGTGGAATTTAATTGGCTTAATTTATTTTGCCACCTGCCCATGAAACAAATCTGGGAGTTATATGCATGAACTCCCTCTTATTTTTATTATGAAGTTCCAAATATATATGCAATACCAGTGAAATGCATCAAAACTACTGTGTGAAGTAGGTATCCTAGGCCATAGTCAATTTGCTTTAATGTTTGTCATCCTCTGGTGTTTTTCTTCTTTTATTTTTATGGTGTTCTACTTTCTGGCAGTGACTGCCCTTGCCCTCAGACCACCACCTGCCAGGATAGCACATCCTCAGCTTGGCCACAGTTAAAATTTACTCAAAAGGATTGCAATTCCCATCCCACCTCCAAAACACACCCACAAAAGAAAACCTCCATTTCCTTGTTTTTTAATTATGCATCTTTATATCATTATGCTCCAGGGATAATCAGATTTTTAAAATCCTACTTCTGCCATTTGTGTTCAAATTGTAAAGATAAGAAACCTTCTTTTGCATTTGGCCTTAAAAGGGGGTAACTGCATTGGTGCAATTTTTCTCTATGCTTTATAATGTTGACCCTTTTTTATTTTTATGTATTTATTTTACGTTTTTTTAAGAATCTTAACGGTCTTGTAAGAAACAGTAAAAAGACCCTACGCTTAAGGAAGCAATCTATCTTCTGTTTTACAGACTTGCTTTTAAATAAAATGCTTTTTGTTGTTTTTGTAATTTTACTTCCATGATCTTTTATATGGAAACCCTAGAATATCATTAATATAAAAGTCTGCCTAGGCTACCACTTTTCTATAATATGGCTCATGTAGTCCTCAGTGGGCAAGCGTCCTTGCTCTTCGGTCTCTTCCTTGGGAAGTGCTTCATTGGACCGGTGAAGAAGCCTCTCTTCCCGATTCTTTATCCTCTGCTCCATCCTCTCCAGCTGCCGTTTGTACTGGTAGCGCTGTTGGAAGAGGTCCTTTGCATAGTCATAAAGCTGCATGTCCAAGTCATTGAGCTCCTCAATCCTCCGGATGGTGTCATTGTCCACTTCCACCCCTCCTGCCCTGGTACTGTTGTACTGCATAAAGGGCCGGATGAATTTCAGATTAAAAGTTCTCTCAAACAGATACTGAGTCTTTCTCTGGAACTCTGTCAGGCCAAAGAAGGCCATGTCTTTGAGGTTCTTTTTTGCGCTCTCCAGCAGGATCTGTGCTCGCTTGTTCTCTGGGATGAAAGACATGTTGTAACAGCCCACTAAGCTTAAGTCAGCCAACATCCTCACTTGGCGGTTGTTGGCCAAGTTATATGGGCAGTCCATGAATTCCTGCAGCGTGCAGCCCGACCAGTCTGTGCCTTCATAGCATGATGGCAGCTCTTCAGGAGTTGGTGTCCTGCCATCACACATGTGCAAGGAGGTCTTCCAGGTAGCACCTCGTTGGACATGACGCCATTCACTGAGGTAACGAGATACAGGGTCTCTCAGCAGTGTGATGTAGTAAAATTTTCTACAAGAAGAAGAGAAAATAAAATAAATATTCTGCTAGTAACAAGAAAGAAGCCTGGCAAGCTGATATCATGCAGATATCAAAAAGACAAGAGTGAGTCAACATCACGGCATCCATTCCACTGTACTCCTGGATTATTTGCTTCTTGCAATATCTCATGCAAAGCAGTTTCTGCAACATTAGATCCATGTTTCTCTTTCTCGTTGCACATCATTTTAGTCTTGTCAAATAGCAACTCTTACTCTGGGACAACCATTTCCAGCAACAGACTGCGATGTCAGAACAAATCATAGAATCATAGAATAGTCTGGGATGGCAGAGACCTTAAAGATCATCTAGATCCACTCCCCTACCATGGGCAGGGACACGTCCCACTAGATCAGGTTGTTCCAAACCCCATCCAACTCAGCCTTGAACGCTTCCAGGGATGGGGCATCCACAGATTCTCTAGGCAACCTGTTTCAGTGTCTCACCACCCTCACACTGAAGAATTTCTGCCTTGTATCTCATCTAAATGTCTCCTCTTCCAGTCTGAAACCATTACCCCTTGTCCTATCACTATATGTCCTTGTCAAAATTCCCTTTCCAGCTTTCCCGTAGCCCCTTCAGGCACTGGAAGGTGCTGTAAGGCCTCCCTGAAGCCTTCCCTTCTCCAGGCTAAACAACCCCAACTCTCTTGGCCTGTCTTCATAGGCAAGGTGCTCCAGCCCTCTGATGACTATTCCATTGATCTACCAGCTTCAGAGAGGACCTGTGACTGTAGGGACTGCCAGGCCTTTCCCATGACTGCATGCCATCAGCCAGGGCGTGCTCTGAAGGACAGCCCAGCAACTGCTCTGGTTATGAGCTGGGTCTATTACTTTCAATTGCGGCAGATGCTGACCAGGATACCTACTGCTGGACTGATCTTGCACTGAGTAGCAGGATAACACCACATAAACATAAGTGAAAAGTAACAGGAAGTCAGGAATGCAATATGCTTTTGTAGGAAGAGAAGGCATGAGTTGACAACCAGCAGTAGCAGCACTAGTTTATTCTCATTTCAGCTAATCTGCTATAAGTTAGAATAAATTTAAGCCACACTTTGGATACATGAAACTATAAAAGGTGAAAAAGCAAGACAATCAGGAGGAACATGCATAGTGACATGGGAATTCCTGCTCTTCCAAGTATAATGAAGTCCCCAACAATACAAGCAGTCCTTTGAACTGAAAACACTACAGCTGTCTTGTACAAAGAGACCCTCCAGCTTCAGCCCACCTTGAGCCTGGATAAAGTTCTGGGACTGACAGTGACAGCAGTCTGCCATGAACCTCTCCAGACAGAGGGAAACAGGCCTTTTTTTCCTTAGCTTCCAGTAGCTTGGGATTGTGGTGTCTCCAAGTGTTTCTTGAACAAGGAAATACCTTCTCTAGTTGCTAAAGCTGGCAGGGAATTAAATCCACATGTGCTTCCAGCACATGGGGCTGTGTGACGCTGCACAAATGGGAGCACCTGGCTTTGGCAGGATAATTCATGGATACTGCTGGAAACATTTTCATATGGGGGGGTGGTGGATTAATTTCTCCACCAGAAATGAATCTTTGGAATGCTGCTACTGCTTGCTGCTCTGCTGGCAGGGCTTGGAAGAGCTGAATATGATGGCCATTATGAAGGCACTGCATAGTTTTTTGAGAAATAAAAAAATATCTGCTTTGTCAAATATGAACACACCCATATTTTCCTAACATCATCAATATTTTTCTTTTCTAACCTACTACTCTTACTGCAGTAAGAGTAATTTAGGTAAATACATCAAAGACATTGCTTAGGAAATCTGATGTTAAAGAATGTTTGCTTTCTCAATTAGCTTGATGAAAGGTTGTTCCAAAGCAGTAAATTTTGGTCCTTCCAACAATGGCAATGGGTTTCCACTCTGACGTCAACTCCTCTCCTGCCTTCTGCCTTCAGAACTAGGGCTGGTAAAAACATTGGCTATTTTTGGAAAATTTTCCATCTTCCTTCATAGCAGGGGTATCATGCTGTCTAGTAACACTGTCTGGTACTGTCTGTGTACAGGGACAGGGGAGAAAGAAGAGGAGCAGAGTGCAGAAGAAAAACACTTCCCTTCAATTTACTTCATTTACATTGCAGCCTGTAGTGATTCAACTACCCAGACTGAGATGCACTATGATTTATACTGACAGTGCTAAGAAACCTCTAACAGATGGGGATAAAATATAACAGTGGAAGGAAAAGGAAAGCAGTGACAAATGCCAGATGTTCAAATGACAGACTTTGACACTAAACGCTACCAGCACTTTTTGACTTGTGAACTGCAGTGGACTTGTTATTTAAAGCAATGTCATAATAGGATCACAGACTGGTTTGGGTTGGAAGGGACCTTAAAGATCACCTAGTTCTAGCCCCCTGCATGAACAGGGACACCTCCCACCAGACCAGGTTGCTCCAAGCCCCATCCAACCTGCCCTTGAACACTTCAGGGATGGGGCTTCCACAGCTTCGCTGGGCAACCTGGGCCAGTGTCTCACCACCCTCACAGTGAAGATTTTCTTACTAATATCCAATCTAAATCTCCTCTCTTTCACTTTGAAACCATTCCCCTTGTTCTCTCACTCCATGCCCTTGCAAAAAATCCCTCCTCAGCTTTCCTGAACCCCCTTCATGTACTGAAAGGTGCTATAAGGTTGCCCCAGAGACTTCTCCAGGCTGATCAATCCAACTCTCCAATGTTGCATTTTTCCTGAAGCAGGTTGAAGCAAATCATTATTATATGGGTTACAGAAGCAACTAGAAGTTACACCTAAGATGCCCCAGACAGCTACTTAAGTGTTCTGAAAAGCTCATGTCAGAAGTATAGTCTTCTCTTAGCCCAGATAGTTGCACTCAATACTGCCTCATAAAAAAAAAACAGCCCCAGTTTGCTCATGCAATGCCAAGTCTCACTAGCCTTCCTGGAGTTATCAAGTCTGAGTAACAAAAATGGACAGTCTAGTTAGAAATATATTTCTTGTATTTTTCTTCCCCTGTGAAGCTGGGCAGAACAGCATTACTACTCCTGCAGGCTCTCCTACATATCCATGGTGTTGTGATCCCCAGGAGGACAAAGAAGAGCAGAGACCAAAGTCACATCCCTGCCTTTCCTTCTATCATTGTCCTTGGTGGTCCAAATGTGAAAATCCACCTGAAGGTCCCCAGGCCATTTGCAACTTCAGCATTGCAACTTGGATCTGCAGGCAAGCTGCACAGTTTTGTCTGGGGAAAGAATCACTAGCACGTTATTAAACAGAGCAAAATGAAATAATGTTTTTGAAAAACAACTCTGTATTAGAATTGCAGTTTCAGGGAGAAAAAAAAATCCAGTACTGGAAAAGAAGGGCAGCCTAGCAGTTGTAGTACACAAATGAATTCAAGAAACCTGAGTTTAAGTACCCGTTCTGTCAAAATTAGCCTATAAGCCCCAGACAAATCTCTCTCTGCCTCTGTTTCCCTTTCGTGAATGTCTCCTTTGTTTATTCTGGATTCATAACATAACATCTTCTGGAGCTGGAATGTCTCCTTCAATGATTATGCAAAGCCCCTGTTTCAGCATGGATTGAGGTCAGAGGACAGTAGTTAACTTGAGGCATGTTTTTAAGACACAGGCATCAGGGGCACTGTTGCCTTACAGGATTCCCACCCCAGACTGCTGTCCCAGTCTTACGTATCAGCACAAAGCAGCCTTAGTTTTGCCAGCAAAGGTTTTACTTGTGTGGTTTTGTTTCCTTTTTTTCTTTCTTTTTTTTTTGACAGGGCCATGCTGCAAATGCAGTCACTGAGTGGATCGAGGTTAAAATAACCCTTTGTTGCAGACTGAAGCCCCCATTTAGTAATATTCTGCCTTAATTCCTGTCAGCATGTTCCTCAGCTAATGAAGGGGAAATGAAACCCTTCTTCCTCTACAAAACCAATTTCTTCTCTTTTGGTAGTAGCATAATTCTGATAAAGTGACAGATTCTAAATACAATGCTATTATCTTTCTTTAGTTCATTTCCATTTATTCTTTCCTACAATCCTATTTGATAAACCCTTCTTACTTCCCACTACTGGTCTCTAAAATCTGCCGAGAACTGCTTATTTGACTGTGCAATCCACACTGTGCTGCCCTTCCCAAAAGCCAAAATATCTTATTTTTTATTTCTACAGGTTATTCACTGAGCTTCCAAGCATCCCGCACAGGAAAAGCAAAATTTGTAGCAAATCCTTCTTGTCTACTGTCATGGCCTTCCATCAGATAACAAGCAAAATTAGGATAGCCACTTCCAATCACACATGCTTCATCCTGCCTGCCAGGAGGGGGAAGGAGAAGGAAGCTGCATAGGTCAGTTCCAACCATATAACCCCAATCTGTCAAACCAACATGTCCCCAGGCTACAATTTTTCTACTGCTGAAGAAAAAACAATAAAAAAATATTCCTATGTCCTTGCTGAATTCACTGAGCTGAACAGGGTGTCTGCCAGCTTGCAGGAATGAGAAACACCCTGTTTTGTTTAAAAGAAGTAGTAATGTCAAATTTGTGGCTGACTAAAGGCATCCTTCTGAGCCAAGCCCATGTATTAGGCACTCCTCAAATAACTTGCAAGGGTCCTTATTCAGCTCATACTGGCTCTCACTACAAATGGTTTATTACTAGAACAGCCAGTGAATTTGCCACCTGGCAACAAAATGAAAAGGTGCACATACCCTGACATTAGCCTGCAGGGACCAGGGACCCCTTCTGCCATCACTTAAACTCTCACCTTACAGAGACAATTAAAGGGATTATTAGGTACTGGTTATCTTCACTGAAAACGGACAGTGACCCCTACAGGAGCAGTTTCAGCGCTGACTTACAGGTAAATAGCAAGTAAAGGTGAGTCAGGCACCTCTAATGAAGGATAAGCTGAGAATGTCTCAGATGAAAATTTACAAGGAATTTATAGTGCCATTATAAAGTCATCCTACATGAAACATACAGGTA